CTGTGGAAGTTCTATAATCAAATTCCACTGACCTTCAAATTCCCTGGGGATTCTTAGGGAGAGACTTGGGCTCAAAAATCACTGCAGATGGTGACTGTAGCCATGAAATTAAAAGACACTTATTCCTTAGAAGAAAAGCTGCTACAAACCCAGATAGTGTAATAAAAAGCAGACATTATTTTGCTAACAAAGGTCCATCTAGTCAAAGCTTGGGTTTTGACCAGTAGTCATATATGGATGAGAGTTGGACCATAAAGAAAGCTGAGCACCAAAAAATTGATGCTTTTGAACTGTAGTGTTGGAAAAGACTCTTGAGAGTCCTTTGGACTGCAAGGAAATCAAACCAGTCAATCCTAAAGGAAAAAATCCATCCTGAACATTCATTGGAAGGATTGATGCTGAAGCTAAAGCTCCAATACTTTGGCCACCTGATGCAAAGAGCTGACTCATTACAAAAGACCCTGATGCTGGGAAAGATTGATGGCAGGAGGAGACAGGGACAACAGAGGATAAGATGGTTGGATGGTATCACTTATTCAATGGACATGAGTTTGAGCAAGCTCCAGGGGTTGAAGAACAGGGAAGCCTGGGGTGCTGCAGTCCATGGGGTGGCAGGGAGTCAGACATGACTGAATGCCTGAAAAACAACAAGTGTCAAATAAAAAGTGGTTTGGAGCCCAGGGAGATAGTTTTCTAGGGAAAAGGGAGAAGTTAAAGAAATTATTGATTGGCTACAGCAAAATGCTTAGTTGACTGTTTGTAATTGGTGTCCTTAGTGTTTTGATTTCATTACCTTGAGGCATTTACAGGCTTAGATTTTGATTTGCTTAAATAGGCCACTAAGGCATTACAGCCACATCAGTCTAATGGCCTCCCTGTTCAATTAGTTAAACAATTCTCCCCTTTTGGTCATCCTTTGATACATGAGATATTGACCAGAAATGTAATGTCAGTGCTACTCAGTCACCATCAGATCTAAGCTGCTCTTGTCTGATTGTGAAACTCAGGTTATGATGGCAGATCTGTAGAAGAGATTGTTTCTGCTGTTCATCTTGATTGTTCTCAAGCATTCTGAGACCATCTAATGAACTACTGGTGACTGTGGACATTCATTTAAGACTTTGGGGAGAACATAGTGCACCAGGGACACTTCAAGGATAGCTATTAGGAGGATAATACCAAGACACTGATGTATGCTCCTTAGACAGAGCCCCCATGAACCAAACCGGTTGTTAGCAAATAAATTAAGGAATGTATCTGAAGGGGCAACAGCCTGTTTTAGTCAAGCGGTTTATTTATTTCCTCTATTTTCTACAATACCAGAGGTGTTGATGCAGGTAGAGCAGAAAGTATTTGCTATGGCACAGACTCATCTTTGTTCAGCCAAAAGCAATTCTATTACCTAAAACCACTTTAGCAAGAAAATATAGGCACTTTTGTTGTGCAGCTATGGGCTTAGCAGTAGATTCAGCAATAGTTGCCAAATTTAAGGAGCTCTGTTTTCTCATGCATTAACAGAGAGAAAAACTAAGTTGTGAAAAGACAAAAGGAAACAAGCTTTTCTATTGAATGAGGATCTTGACCTCTGATTTTGGGAGAGCTGTCTACCTCAGGATGCCATCTACTTCTGGGGAGGAACTTCCCAAGACAATTTTAATTTTAGATCTCCAGCTAGTGTGCAGTTCCAAGAGTCTAGAGAGCCCATTTTAACTGGGGGATGTGGACCCAAAGTTCAAGTTCTTGAAGTTTGGCTGCCTTCTGGGTTATTAGGCATATCTGGTATCGTCCTGCCAGAGAGGTTCAAGGGCAGTCTTTGTACTTAAGATTCCAACTCAGAAAGGGTGGGAGAAAATTGAAAATGTTAGTCTGGAGACTTGTAGCCAGATATTTGAGGATGCTGGTAGAATCAGGATCTAGTTTGGTTTATAGATATATAACAAAACCTCAAAGACAATAAATGGAACTAGAATATGATATCCACAAAACTATTATAATTTTCTATTGAAATATATTTTTCCCCTCACAATCACCCTCAATTCTGTAACAGAGAAAACATGAGCTTATCTGACTTTTAGTGAATCTAGGTCAAATCAAAGTATCATATTCAGTGTTTATAACTCTAAAGACATTCCTATTCCAATTAAACCAACAAAATTTAGTTTTTATCTTAGATCATGTGAACTTGAAAAACATTTGTGTTAGTTTCTTTATTTCTGAGAGCACACTTAATTAATTTAAAATTTTGTTTGTCCTCAAGTAAGTTAAATAGAACTCTTGACAAATTAGTTTTGGCAATATCATTCAGAGGCAGAAAAATTTCACACAACTATAACATACATACAAAGGCATACAGACACATTGATTTTATATTTTTTGCTTTAAAATGTTATCCATGAGGTGCAATAATGCAAAACTCTGGTTTATAAAAGAATGGCTGGTTGTATTTCTGGCAGAAAGAATAAGTTAAGATTACATGTCAGATGGCTAAAGCTTTTACTAATATTTGTGAAAAAGGCTTGAGACTTTTCATTCACCTTGTTTCCAAATAGTTTAATTTATTTTTTCTCTGATAAAAATTCTTTCATAACTTTGCATTTCAAGAGATGGAGCTGGGTTCCTAAGGAAGACCAGGTAGAACATTTACATCTCAAAGGACAGAGAAAGGCTGTAAATTTCTCCAAAAGGACTTTTGTTTCCAAAATTCAGATGTCTTACCACATCTACAAGCCTTTTGAGATAAATAGGGAAGTTTGGGGGGTTGGTAAAAAGATAGGTAGACTTTGAATTGTTGCTAGAGCTGCATTTCTATTCTGGTAAAGACTCAATTGTAAGACAAGTACAATTGTTTTAATTCCTCAAAGAATTGGGTTGTAATCTAAATAATTTCAAGAAGCTGACCCTGCCATCCAACCTTGCATTATCTTCAATTTCCTCTTTCATTTCTGGGAGAAGATTTCCAACAAAAATGGAAATCAAAAGACTCCTACATTCTAGATTTAGAGCCATATTTCTTTGGAATGTTTAGTAATTCTTCCACAATGGCTTCAGAATGGTTTTCTTTCCCTCTGGGTACGTAGTTTCATTTTAGCTTAGTTCAGTTCAGTTCAGTTCAGTTGCTCAGTTGTGTCTGACTCTTTGCAACCCCATGGACTGCAGCGTGTCAGGCCTCCCTGGCCATCAACAACTCCCAGAGTTTATTCAAACTCATGTCCATTGAGTCGGTGATGCCATCCACCCATCTCATCCTCTGTCATCCCCTTCTCTTCCTCTAACACCACAGGTCAAAAGCATCAATTTTTTGGCACTCAGCTTTTTTTATAGTCCAACTCTCACATCTATACATGACTACTGGAAAAACCACAGCCTTGGCTAAATGGACCTTTGTTGGCAAAGTAATGTCTCTGCTTTTTAACTTAGTAGACAAGGTCTAAAAAACAGTTCTTACCAGAGTCTGAATGTCAGCTTTCAATTAGGTCAATTTCTGACCGGAGAACTACTTTAAAAAATAATCCTCTTAAATATATTGTTTCACATTTTACCTGAGACAAAGAGTAAATATTCTCGACAGGGGTTCCCCAGGTGACTCAGTGGTAAAGAATCCACCTGCCAATGCAGGAAATGCAGATTTGATCCCTAGGTTGGGAAGATCCCCTGGAGGAGGAAATGGCAACCCACTCTAGTATTCTAGTCTGGAAAATCCCATGGACTGAGGAGCCTGGTGGGCTATGGTCTGTGGATTCACAAAGAGACGCAACTGTGCAACTAGGCATAGCACAGCTCAACACAGCACATGGACACAAAAGGGGTCTCCAATGAAATGCAAAACATACTACCCTTTTGAGATCTAGAGCCACTCCCAAAGATAACTGAAAGAATGACTCAGACAATTCCCTTGAGAGCTGGGAATAGTTGGTAGGACCCTAGCTGCAAATGGAGTACAACCCACATTTGTATCTGGCCATATTTTGGGGCCCTACAATCTGATGGTAGCCAGGTCAACCTCTCAGGATACGCAGTGAGACAGGAAGGAAATAGCTGCCCCTGGGAGAGAAAGGGTCAATAATCAATCTTTTTCCTTGCCCATCTAAATTTGGAAAAAAAGGGACTATGTAAGATTTTAGCTGCTTCTTTTGTTGACTTAAAAAATAGTCCCAACCTAAAAGTTGGGTCAGTAAAGGCAAGTAGAAGCATGCAAGTATATTCACAGGCACGGAGGGTCCATGTTTAAAACAGTTAAGGTAACTATGATGCAACACCAACAATTTGACTGGCCCTGACACACCCAAAATATAATCTTAATTTTTCAATGAAATCCTGAAGAAAATTGCTAGTTTTGGTATACTGCTAAACACTAAAGTAGTATGTTTTTTCCATGGTTTTAGATTAGCTCAAAGAATTTTTACACTATTAAGTAAGAAAAAAATTAAAGTATTGCCCCTTTAAAAATTTATATAGACTTTTAATTAGCCTTATTTATGGAGCAGGAATTTTTTTCAGTCGCCAGTGTTGCCTAGACAACATCATTAAGCAAGAATGCCAGTTTAAAAGAATTCCATGCCATGCGCATGCGTGCTCAGTCTTTTCTGACTCTTGGTGACCCCATAGACTGTAGCCTGCTAGGCTCCTCTGTCTGTAGAATTTTCCAGGCAAGAATACTGGAGTGAGTTGCCAGTTCCTCCTCCAAAAGTTGAGAGTTATGTTTTATTTGGTGGGAAGTTTTAGAATTTCAAGCCTGGGAAACAGCATCTCAAGTAACTCTGAGAACTACTCTGAGGAGAGCGGGGGAGGAGCCAGATTATATAGAAGTTTCACATAAAGGGCAGGTAATCTGAACATCAAAGTATTATTGCTCTGCCCATAGCCAAAATGACACCAGCTCAGAAGTTGCCTAAATTCAAGAAGTTGAGGAAGCTGGTCTGGAAGCTGCTGAAAGAGAGCAGTGAGGAAGGAGTATGGTGGATATCATTGAAAGACTCTGGGAGGATGGGATCCAAAAGTGCATGATACAGGAGGGCCAAGGAAAGCTCCCTGACTTTCAGGATGGAACCAAAGTCACGTTCCACTACCAGACTCTTTGCAATGACAAGGAGAACACCATGCTGGATGACAGCCAGCCATGCGGCAAGCCCATGGAGCTCATCATTGGCAAGAAGTTTAAGCTGCCCCTGTGGGAGACCATCCTGCATACCATGTGGGAGGGGGAGATTGCTCAGTTCTGCTGTGATGTCAAGCATGGTCCTATATCGGCTATTGGCCAAGAGTTTACACAACATTGCAGCCAGCAAGGACCTCCTGGAGGGCATCACCCAGATGCAGGAGCACAATTCCCTGGGCCATGCTGATCTGGATGCCCTGTAGCAGAAGGCCCAGCCTCTCATCTTTGACATTGAGATGCTTAAGGTGGAGTATCAGAAGTGCTGGACTCCTCCTCCATCCTCAATAAGTATGATGACACTGTCAAGGCCTACTTCAACTACAGCAAGGCACATGCAGCAGTGTGGAACACTCAAGAAGCCCAGGCTGACTTTGCCAAGGTGCTGGAACTGGGACCCACCCTGGCAACTATGATGGGCCCTGAGCTATGGATCTAGGAGCAGATCTAGCTGTGAACTGTGCCTTTAAGCACAGATCCTTCAGAAAGACAAGGAGGACAAGGCCTCCTTCCGGGGCATCTTCTACCACTGACAGGGCCCTGCTGGTGTGGTCACCCTGTCTGGCCTGCTGCTGCTGCTGACAGCCCGCTCACTCGCCCCCACTGACTTATGCTCCTCTGTATGTGTGCTAAGTCGCTTCAGTCATGTCTGACTCTTTGCCACCCCATGAACTATAGCCCACCAGGCACCTATGTCCTTGGGATTCTCCAGGCAAGAATGCTGGTGTGGGCTGCTGTTCCCTTCTCCAGGGGATTTTCCCGACCCAAGGATCGAACCTGGGTCTCATGTCTCCTGCAGTGGTAGGTGGGTTCTTTACCACTAGTGCTACCTTAACTCCACTTACCACTAGCTCTTCTCTGTATATAAAGGCCTTATTTATCTCTTAAAAAAAATTATTGTTAAAGAAAACCAGATATCCCAAGTTAAGGAATTTTGTGCTTGTCTATGTATGGGAAGCTACAAGAATCTGGCTCACTGAAATCATTCCTTTCATAGCCACCTCACCTGGTACCCTGTGTTTTTCACATCCCGAGCTCGTTTGGAGCTTACTATAGGGAGTGGATGCAATCTGATGGCAAGGAGGTATTCTTCATCCTGAGTGCCCTTACGACTCACCAGCTCACATTGGAGGGCTGTAATCGCTGACAACTGTGACATCCCTGTCTAGTGATATGGCAGGAAATATTTTATTTCACACTAGGCGCCACAGAGAGAGATCTAGGAGAGCTGACTTTGGTGAGAATGCTCATCCTTTGCTGACTTCTGCAGTTTTCTCAGTATCCCATCTGCAGGTCTCATCCTGGTCACCAGAAACTATAAGGGAAGAAAAGGAGTTTCCCCTCTATTCTCTTTAGTAAGTGCTTGAGTGAAACTCCTTTGTCTCTAGGGCAACTGTGTAAATGGATAAGCCTGTCTAAGATGATGAAAACTTCTCCACTGGTGTACACTGTAATTCAATAGTATCTTTGGTAAAGTTAACCTACTTGCTGCTGCTGCTGCTGCGTTGCTTCAGTCATGTCTGACTCTGTGCGACCCCATAGACGGCAGCCCACCAGGCTCCCCCGTCCCTGGGATTCTCCAGGCAAGAACACTGGAGTGGGTTGCCATTTCCTTTCCCCAGTGCATGAAAGTGAAAAGTGAAAGTGAAGTCACTCAGTTGTGTCTGACTCTTCATGACCCCATGGACTGCAGCCTACCAGACTCCTCTGTCCATGGGATTTTCCAGGCAAGAGTACTGGAGTGGGTTGCCTTCTCCATTGACCTACTTGTTTAGCCTCAAAACAATTTTACTCACCTGAGGCCTCACACTGCATCCAATCCAGTTTTACATTGGACCCAGTCCAGATTATCTCCCATTTCTAAGCTGAACTTAGCCTGATCCCAGACTCAATCTAACTCTGGCCAGCTTCTGAACCCTATCCAGCAAAACAAATGCTCAAATAAAGTCTGAAAGCTCATAATTCAAAAGCTGTGGAGCTTGGATCCAGGATCCAGAAAGGACTTACCAATCATTTCCAGAGACAGTGAAATCAAGGGGCTCATGAAGTCCTATGCCTGGTTGCTCATTGCTCTTGGGGGCCATTGGGGGTCTCCTTTGGTTCCCTTTTTGGACACCAGATCTGTTAAAAGATAAGCAAATGCATATTAAAAAATATAAGAGATTGCACAAAAATGGATTTCATTATGGTCAATGCCAAGCTGGAAGTTGTTAGAGGTGCGCCCTATTACTGTAGTCACATTTTTATTATTGAAAGCAAGCAGGCCCCTGTAGGGGCTACTGGGCACAGGGAGACTTTCTGTTCCACCTCCATAACCTTCCCTGGGTTCTGAAGGGCAGATTCAAAATGTTGCTAATCCAGGAAGGGAAAGGATTAAGAGTCAAGGGAGGAGGAGCCAAGAAATGATAGTACAGCTTTGGGGCAGGGTCCTGGTTCCACCTCAAGGGACACACATAACAATATCCTTAATCCCATTTATAGAATTAAAACCCAACAATGGAAGGTGTCATCATTCTCCATATGGGAGAAGACTACTTGAGGCCAGTCTAATGGAACCACAGAAGCTCATTAAGAAGATTAACTGAAGCTGGCCCTACTCACACCCCAATCTTATCTGCAACTTTGCCCTTGAATTATTGCTATAAAATTCTTCCTGAGATCCTCCCTAGCTGGGAAACAGCTTTCAAGGGCAGGAGCCCTTTGTGTCCCCTTTAACTTGGCATAACAATAAAGTGATTTTTTTCTACTTCACCCAAAATTCCATCTCTCAGATTTCATTGGGCACCAGTGTGCAGAAAGGCTGAATTTTCATCATCACTACTGATGGTATTGCCCTGTTTAGTTCACTCACTTTAGTCATCAAACTTGACTCAAAAGCCTGAACTTTTGTCAGTAGAGAAATTTATGAAGACATGGTGTAAGTAATTCCAAAGTATTCTATTTAGCAGCTTCCTCTCTGGAATGGCTATGTGCCTCCTCTTCCACCCCAGGATAGCTTAGATTTAAAAGTGAGAAGAAGGAAGCTCAGTGATGAATATAAATCACTTTTATGTAATCTTCACCAAAGTCTTATGACGCATGTATTATCCTTGTCATCTAGATGAGGAAGCAGAATCAAAATGTTTAAGTGATTTATTTCTTCTAGGTCCTTGTTAAACATTTCTTGCATCTTCTCAATCTTTATCTCCAGGCTATTTATTTGTAACTCCATTTTGTTTTCAAGATTTTGGATCATTTTTATTATCATTATTCTAAATTCTTTTTCAGGTAGATTCCCTATTTCCTCCTCTTTTGTTTGACTTGGTGGGCTTTTTTCATGTTCCTTTAGCTGTTGGGTATTTCTCTGCCTTTTCATCTTGTTTAGATTGCTGTGTCTGGAGTGGGCTTTCTGTATTCTTGTGGTCTGAGGTTCCTTTTTATTGTGGAGGTTTCACCCAGTGGGTGGGGTTGGACGATTGGTTTGTCAAGGTTTCCTGGTTAGGGAAGCTTGTGTCAGCGTTCTGGTGCGTGGAATTGGATTTCTTCTCTCTCCCTTCGAAGACAATGGGCTGCTTTTCTGGGCGCCTGATGTCCTCTGCTAGCGATCAGAAGTTGTTTTGTGAAATTTGCTCAGCATTCAAATGTTCTTTCGATGAATTTGTAGGAGAGAAAGTGGTCTCCCCGTCCTATTCCTCCGCCATCTTGGCTCCTTCTGTTTAAGTGATTTAAATCCCTTAGAACTAGTGTAGAATTGGGACTTATCTGGCACTGAAGCTCTACTCTTTCTTATACTTCCTATTATTTCCTTCCATGGTGACAACCTCATTTTGGAATGATAAGTTCTGTTGTGTTTGTGAAAGTTTACATTACTTTTTAATTATGTCACATACATTATCTATGTAAGCCTGGGCCAGTGCATAGGAGACATTTTCTAATAATCTGTTTGTGATTATGTGGCCTTGAGCAATGAGGAAAGGGAAAGAAATGCAATTTTTTATGCATAGCAAGTGCTGTGATAGGAAGCCAAATAAAACTGGGCACTGTTGACAGTAATGATGTTTTACCTCCTAGTGTTATAAAAAGTTGCCTCATTAAACAAGATCAAACAAATGAGCCAATAAGAAGGAAGCCTCTTTTCTAACAAGCAGGCTTTAAGAGAAAGTAAGCCAATGAGAAGTGAGTTTCTGGTGTCAATGTAAAAACTTTGGGGAAGATGAAACAGAAAAGATTCAGGCCTCTACTTCAAATGATGAGCTTGAAGACAAAAGAATCCATATGAAGTCCTGGTTCCAGGATGAGAAGTTTAGGTGGTATGCATCCTGCTTGCTTAAATGATTTGACTTTTGAAAAAACAGAAGTAGGAGATATGTAACAATCTACATGTAGTTCAAATGAATAATCTTTGCATGTATCATCAAAAACTTCTAACATGTATACACTACTTACTATGTACCAGGTAGGGTAACCACATCATACTGGTTTGCCCAGGACGTCTTAGCTGTAGCCTTCCCCGGTGGCTCAGATGGTAAAGCATCTGCCTGCAGTGCAGGAGACTGGGGTTCGATTCCTGGGTTAGGAAGATCCCCTGGAGGAGGGAATTGTAACCCACTCCACTATTCTTGCCAGGAGAATAACACAGACAGAAGAGCCTGGTGGGTTATAGTCCATGGGGTCACAAAGAATTGGACATGACTGAGTGACTAACAATTCGCTTGCTTATTAAAGCTTTAGCATTGAAAATTCTGCATCCTGGGACAATTTCAACCCTAAAAAAACAGGATGATTGGTTACTGATGCCAGGTTCTGTTCTAAACATTTTCTATTTAGTAACACATTTAATCTTCACTAGACTTCTGTGAGGGAGGGATTATTATTATACCTATTTTACAGGTGAAGGAAACGCTTGCAAAGAGAGGCTAAAATATATCCCTATCCAGGCCCTACCTAGACTCTGATTGTTTTTCAAAAGTTCTCCAGGTGTTGCAAATATGAAGCCAGGAGTTTGGCCCTGAACCAGATCAGTAATTCCTTAATGAGGGACTATGACCTGAAATTGCTGAACATCCTTTTTGTACCTGTTGTAAGCAGGAACCCAGGACACAGAAGGCACGGCTGACATGGCTTAGTGGAGACTGTCGCCCCACACTTCTAAGTGGTATTAGCCACCTAGAAGAAGTGCTGAGTGGGGTCTGACATCTTTCTGGATGGGAA